TGAGTATTATACAGTAGAATGTATCTGAGCATTATGAAATAGAGTAATGTTTGCGTAAAAACAAGTACAGATGAACTAGAACAGAAGTTAATATGACCAAAAACATTTCTTGACCAAGTTTGAAAAGCTCTAGATGAAACGATATAAGGATAAGATCTTAGTTAAAGTTTTTTTCCGTGCAATGATTCAACAAGATTAGATCTGAAAAAAAAGGAAAAGCTCCTGTCTTTATCACCTTCACAATACTTGACTAAAAGTTTTTTAGTTATTAATTTTTTATAGAGGCTATCAAAGAATATGAGTCGCTCTGTTTCAAATAAAAGCTTGAATATGTTAGCATCTATGCGACGAATCATGCACTTACATTTACATAGTTTATTTCATTCTCTTCAAACATAATTTGCGACTAATAGATACTAACCACAACGTTTTTTTTCTTATTGTCTCTTTTTCCCGTCACATTATATATTTTCCTATCTTCTGCTCTTGCAAGAATGAAATTTAAATAGTGTAAAAGCATTTATTTATCCTCTTATATCCGTGATATTTAATTGATGCATGCAACGTTACGAAGAAGTTGATGCGAGAGGTCACGATATGATTAAAAGCTTTTGAACTCATATTTTGACCAGTGACACGAAACCTGTTGATTAGAACTGGTTTCAAAGAATCAATGCTGAAGTTGAGATTCGATCAAGATGTTGATTTTTTAGTGAATTTTTTTCTGTAAAGATCCAATTTTCCGAGAAAATCTTATTATCGAAATTAGACTGTAAAGCTTTGCCCAAATGAAAATCTCAGTAAGACTAGCTTATGCAAAAATTTTTACAAGTTTCTGATGTCTATCTTTAAGATATACATCTTCCAAAATATGATTGTTTCCATACTATGAAGGGAAAACCACATGAAGTGTAGCAAATGCAAGTGTGGGCATTCTCATTCTAAATAATACCTATATCCCCTTCTTCGATTATAAAATTTCATCGCGAAATCGGATTCATACAGAGACAACTATCTAGAAAGCCAATGTTTTGGCCATATTTTAACGTCTGCACGAACCATTTGGAATCGATTTGTAAGCTTTCCTTCCATTGGCTCAGTAATGCTCGACACGATTGTTGTTCTTACAAGTCCTATGTAGATCTGTAGCAAATACCAATAAATTCTTTCTATGGTATGAGCATGAGTGTGGATGCATAGACGAATCCGACATTCACTATCAACCTGACCGATACCTAAATGCAGAGCCACACCTGTACCTCACATTGACATGCTGAGTATTCTAGTTTCTATACTGTACTTTGCTGATTTCCAACATTTGAACTGTCACAAGAATATGTTTCGATAATTGTACTTTTGGATACTTTTTCACATTTTGACATTTTTATTGTATGATATTTACACTTCTGCATTCACACTTTCTACACTTTTCTTTCTAGATTTTTCGTATTCGTGTTTTTACTCTAGACGTGTCTCCTTTTAATATTAGTTAAGGGAGTTCGAATAAATAACACAGGTATTTGTAATAACTTGTTCTATCTTATAACTTTCAGCAATGTCATCGACTACAGCACAAGCCATCTTGAATGTCCTTCATCTTTACATCATATACGCATATTCAATTAT